TTCATAGGCTACCAGGCACTGGAATTAGGGACTCCATCAAATTAAAGCCTCTGGTAATGGCAGTTTGGTCCAGTAAGGGACATCTAGAAACTGGTATTAAGAGCCAGATATAAGTGCCTAAAGAAGTTAAAAAACACCTGGGCTATTTCTTAGTCCCAGACTAGCTCCTTCATCATTCCTCCCTCTTGTGAACTCCCAAAAGTAGCCACTCAGCTTGCTCTTTTGCCACTGTTTGGCCCTACCTTTTGATGTGGACTTGCCAACTGGAAAAATCTTCTCCTGCATTAGTTCTCAAAAGGGACTTGTGTAGCAAGCATCATTCCTGCAATGTGGTAAATATTTCTTTTATAAATGATTCGTCTATCCACCTGTCCATAAAATAAGATTATAATTTCTTTTATGTTTCTGATTATAGCATTGGCAACAGTGTGAATGTGGATAGTTTCAAAATTATAACACCCATAATTCAGAAATAGCCTCAAGCTGATTCAGTTGTGTGTGTGTGTGTGTGTGTGTGTGCGTGTGTGTGTGTGTGCATGTGCGTCCGTGTGTTTTTGGTGTTCACTGTATTAGGAATGAATCATTGTCCTTTTCCTTGCCCCCCAGGATTCATCTTATGTAGCTTTTATTTATCTGAGCATATCTCCATGAGAGTGGTGCATAATTCTATGCCTCTTAATCCCTGGAGTAGTGCTCTTTGGACTTTGAATAATAAAAGATCAGAAAGAAAGTTTGTCTGTATTTCATGAGCCAATCAACACTGGGGATTAAATAACTAAAATAATAACATGAGGAAAAAAGAATAATCAGCTATGATCACTAAGAAATTTATGATAAGAGAAATGTCAGACTTGAAAGCAAAGCAAGATGCCTAAATCCTGTCCAGAGATTTTTTTAAGTGTTGGTAGAACATATGATACTAAAAACAGATTTAAAAAGAATAGAAGTGTTAGCATTAGAAAATAAGTTAAATTTAGACATCATATAAGCATAGGGAGTTGACAATCATTATGAAATAGACATAGAAAATGGCCACCCTTAGATAATAGCTTAATAGCTAAGTATGGAAGAATTATAGAGATGTAAGAGAGTTATTCATGAATCAAGAATATATGGACAAACAGCCCCATTAAAATTGGGCAAAAGACATAAATAGACAGTTCTCAAAAGAAGATATACAGGTAGCCATTGGACACATGAAAAAGTGCTCAGCCTCACTAATCATCAGAGAAATGCAAATCAAAATCACATTGAGATA